GTTCTCCCCAAATATAACTCGATGATGATTTCTCTTATCGGTCATAATTATCTGTAAGCATTTCTGGAACACTTTTATCATACCCTGTAATGTATATTGTGCCACACACAAATATCTAGTTTTGTTTTGGATCAGACTATGTATTATCAAGGGTTATGCTAAACTAGTAAGACCCTGATCCATCAGGTTATTGTAAGCATGTGCATAACTTCAAGCACCTGATTAATCCTGATATTCTACTCTAGAATAAAAGACCTGTGACATAACTGTAGCTGGCCCAGGTCAGCTGACTGGGGCTTGGGTTGTAGGGCTAAACATGGCAGTGTAGACATTTGGGTTTGGTCTGGAGACTGGGCTCAGGACCCCACCCACGCTTGTGGGGTCCCAGTGCTCAGGCTCCAGCCTGAGCCCAAACACCTGCACAGCAATTTCCCAGCCCTGCATAGATGTACCCGAAGAGATCAATGAGACTCTCAAGTGCTTAGTTACTCATATGCATAAGTGTCTTGCTGAAACAGGGCTTGAATTAATAATATAATGTGAAAACTGATAAATATTAATTAGCAATTCTATGGATTTCAGTTTAAGGTTTTCATAATTGAAATGAATGACTCTTTTTTTCTAACTAGCACATTTTCTAACTCTTCACTGTTAGGTCTGTGAGCCGAAAATTTCTGCTCTGAACTTTTTGAAGTATGGGGTATGGAAGGCCCAAGATGGAGTTCCAGGTCTAACTCGTATCTCTAGTTGTTGCTGAACATTGGTATTGTGGTTTTGCCTAAAGACTACAGTTAGGTTGGGTCCCATTGAACTAGGCATTGTGCAGACACACAATGAATGACAGTCCCTGTCCCAAAGAGCATACAGTCAAAAAGACAAACATAACAGGTCAACGATGCAAACAAGTGGGCATGGGAAAGGTTGGTGAGCCAGGGTAACAAACATAATAAAATCTGCAAGTTCTTAGTTGCTTGGTCAGTAGTTGTGAACACAGCTTTCTGCTTCCTTAGCCATTATGTTGCACTTTACTGAATGTATTTTAAATTTGGTTCAGACTCTCAAAAGATGAGCATGTTGGGTACTGTGCTCTTTAGAAAATTTGGCCCATGTTACATGTAGTGGATTGTTTTTTCCTGCATAGTTGTTGATTTATAGTAAGATAGTCTGTGTGAGCATCCATACAGAAAATGAGCACTGATTTAGAACACACTTACTTTAAATGTGATCTTACAACTAAGCTTTTCCTTTGTTTATTTAAAAAACCTCCTCCTTTGGAATAAACTCCAGGGTGGTGTACAAAGAATTTAGTGGTACATTGTAAACTATTTCAAAAGAAGATATAAATAGGGTGACCAGGTGGCCCGATTTTATAGGGACAGTCCTGATATTTGGGTCTTTTTCTTATATAGATCCTTATAACCCCCCACTCCCGTCCCGATTTTTCACACTTGCTATCTGGTCACCCTAGATATAAAGGAAGATTCAGGAATGCAATACAGTATAAACCATTGCAAATAAAGGGCTTTATCATTGTGTTTGATTGAGTGGAAGTCGCTCTCCCGCAATGACTTCATGGAAAATTTCTATTTTAAAATGGGTCGTATTTAAAAACTGGCATGATATGGCCAAAAATATACATCTAGACTTGTAAATAGAAAATTGTCATCTCTTTAGCATTAACCTTAAGAAATTTGTGTTTGACCCCTGATTGTAATAAAATATTTTCTTACTATTGTACCAACACTATGCAAGTTACAGAGCTACTTCAGGGCATCCTTTTAAATTTCATGTTGTTAATTTCCTTGCACAGTTTTCCTTCTGTGGAGTTGTTCTTTCTGTGTAGTATAGCATGTAGCTCATGTTACCACTGTCACTGAAGGTAATAAGCGTTGTGGGTTTTTCTTTGGTATTAGCTTTTGGAAGAGTGCTATGATGGGTTTATTACTTTCTTCCTTCTTGACAGATGTATATTTGTCTAACTGTATTTCTGATGGGCTAAATTCGCTGGCCCCAAACTGCTGGTAATTGGAAAAACTAATGATTTTTTTTAAAAAAGAGTAGCTTAACGTATTAAATTTTCACTGAAGATTTCTTTGGCTATTTGTTTTTAGAGTCAACAGGTCAACTGTATTCTTTAATACTAAAACCACAGAGATGAAAATCTTCTTGATGTTTCTTTAGCTCAGAAAGGAGAAAAGAAATCCCACATGTCTCAGGGTTGGCAAAAATTAAGTTCAAATTTCAGGTAATGTTCAGTAACAGACACAAATTTATGCCTACCCAACCTCTCTTCAGTGCTGGCCTTGGGAGATAAGTTTCTAACAGGCCATAATAATGGGCCTTTAAAAGTAATCAGGCACTCTTTGTTGCTAAATCCTTGTCAATGCTCCTCAACTCAGTCCAGATGTTGAAAAATTGTTCCTGCTTTAATGTTTACCAAGTGAACAACCCCCAGCACTAGTGCAGTCAACACAACAATGGGACTACTCAGGTTTCACTGAGAGCATAATTTGGCAAATAGAACCTTTACTATGTGTGTGTGAGAGAGAGAGAGAACCCAGCTTGACTCTCAGATCCAAGGCTGAATTTCAGGGCTGGCAGTTAAACTAGCAAACTGAGCATTTTCTATAAGGAATCACTGAGGCATAAGCAGTGGGTCCCCCACAAACCATCTTATTACTTCTAAGAATAAAATTTCACTTTTGCTGAAGATTTAAAGCAGTTTTGTGAGTTTCAGAGCTTCCAGTTCTGAAAATGTGGCAGGTTTCCAGTAGTCTAGCAATTAATATTCCCAGTTCTTTCAGAAATGTACAAATGATTGAGAAAAGAAAAGGAGGACTTGTGGCACCTTAGAGACTAACAAATTTATTTGAGCATAAGTTTTCGTGAGCTACAGCTCACTCCATCGGATGCATTGATTGAAATGTACTCTAAAAATGGAGAAGAAACTGGAATTTTACAAATTTTACCAATGTCATCTTGAGGTGGTTCATTCTGTCTTGGTAAGGGGCAACTTACAAGCCTTACTTTGAACAAGAATTCCTAGAACCACTTATTGGGATTAACAGGCCAAACCATCTTACTCAGTAAACATCTTAAAGTATATTGAATATTACACTTCAAATATAAGTACTTCCAATTTACAAGATCCTTGTGACTTGTCACTTAAGTCAGGGTCCCTCTAACCCAGGATCTGTTATCTTTCCCAAACAGTATTCCCATTAGCACAGTCTCCTCAAAGATATCTATCTAAATTGCCCTGACCATCTCTCACTATCCCCAGGAACTGTTAAAGATTATGCATTAGCTCCAGTCTGGGCCATCTTCTGTTTCCTGGGCAACTCTGGCCTGGTCCCACTCTTCCCTAGACAGTTGTAGTTCATGTCTCGACTCATTACTGCTGTGGCTACCTTGGTAGCATTTTAGGCAAATCAAGCCAACATCAGGCCGCTTACCTCGGGTTTCCCACTAGATGTTGTTAGGTTGGATAGACTCCTGGGCACATTACAATAAATTCACTCATTTGAAAACTTGTTAACTCATGAATAATCTTTTAAGAAAGATGTGGAGCACTGCACAATTACAAATATGGGGAAATCTATAGTAAAGGTCCAGGGTGTATGGATATGTAGCAAGCTTTTCCAGTCTTCTTGTCTGCGAGGAAGCCTGTGCACGCCATTGATAGACAGCTCATCCATTTGGACATCCATGGAAATGTATATGTTTGTCTACATTATTCCATGGATTCTTGCTGATGGCAGGTTACTGCTACTTAGAGATTTTTTTAATTTACTGTCCGTTTTCTGTGACAAATTATTTTGATTTTTGCAGGATAACATACCATACATTGTATTTTGGCATGGTTGTGACTCCTCCCATATTTCCCCAGAAAATACTTTGAGTGGCTATAGTATAGGCATATCCGCAGTATCTCAAATAGAAAGAATAGAATTTGGAGGCAAACTTTATAGTGAGCTGATATGTTTTTCAGCACAAAAGGAATGGTGGAAACATATTGCACTTAATTAAAAGAAATTTGAGGCATGAATCGGAAAAGAATTTGTCTCAGTCCCCTGTAGCTAACTGTATTGGGTCTGTAGAATTAACCAGAGTCAAAGTAGGAAAAGCTTATTTTTGTCAATAAAGCAAGAGAGAGTGCTCCAAATATGCTTAAGGAACATATATCATATTGAGTTAAAAGGTGCTAATTTTAGTCACCTTCATAAACAAAACCACACTTAAGCTTACAGCTTTTCTTTCTTTGCGTGTTTTTTCAAATTTTTTGTTTTCCATTACATTCCAGAGTATTCAAACTTTGTTTTATTTTACAATAATTGTCCTGAGCTGATGTCATGCTCATAACGATTATGATCTATGTAGTCTAGTATATTTATTATGTAGCACTTGTAGAACATCATACATCTTCAGCGTGCTTTATGTATATTAACTAATCACAGCACCTAGATAAGGAAACTTGTAGCTGGAGAAACTGATAGAGATATTAAATTACTGCAGAGTCACACAGCAGTAAGTGGCAAACAGAAATAGAACTTCAGAGTCTCGGCTCACTAGTCCTGATCAAATTCCTTTAGACCATGCTTTCTCTGAATTACCCTTCAGCTTTGCTCCTAGTAGATGTATGCTAAAAAGAATTGCCATCATCCTAGCTACCATCCTAACTAAATGCCACAAACTTCTGTATGATATTCTCTTCTTTAAAGTTTGCTCTTTGCCCTTCTGCTATAGTTGGCATAGGAGGGGACCTTTGGAGATCACCCCTTGCCAAAGTGGGTTAGAAAATTTACGTGGAGTTAGCCTCCTTTCTCCAGAAAAGAGAAAAGGTGTGTTTAATGCAGGCTCTTTCTTACAGACTGTGCAGTTTTGTTTCCTTCACTAGCACTGATTGAAATTACATGAAACTTGCTCTTTTAAAAATGTATGTATCAAATAAATTCATTCAAATGTCAAGCAGATTTATTTATTTAACTTTTATTTTCTAGTTGGGGAATGGCGGTCAACGTGTATTCTACCTCTATAACCCAAGAGACTATGAGCAGACATGACATCATTGCATGGGTTAATGACATAGTAGCTTTAAACTACACAAAAGTCGAACAACTTTGTTCAGGTAAGATATTATTTTAAAATACTGTATATTCATAAAATGTTTGAACCTAAAAATCTGATTTGATGAAAATGTATACCTCTAATGCCTTCTGTGTCAGAGGATAGCTCTCTTGAGGGAAGACAGTCTGAAGAATATATCCAACCATGTGTTTTGTGTAGCTGAGTTAAAAATAACTTATGGAAGGATAAGGTTGTTTGGGGAAGCAAAATGAATGCAGAACATGAAGAGTCTAGATAAAGCTGCAGATAAAATCTAGTAATAAATATGATGATTAAGCAGCAAAGGAAAGGAATGCAATAGAGAGTGTCTGTATTAAATGCATAGTACAGTTACTGAAGAAAGCTTTAAAACGTTGGTGCAAAACTGGGAATTATATTATCTGAAAAGTGACAACCTTAGTGAAAGCAACATTATACACTAATGCAATGGTGGGTACCCAGATGAATAAAATACGCCAAGGGTTATTCACCAGTGGTAAGTGTCCTGAAATTCTTGTTGGAGGGCACACAAAAAATCACAGAAAAGTGGTGATGTGAAATGAAGTGGGACATAGTCGGTTTGAAGAAAGCATCATTTAACTGCTGCAAGGTGTTCCTACAGTGTGCCAGGCACATCTGCTTATTTCCACTGCATCTATGACAGGCCCTTGCTGTAGGCAATGCAGTCAATGAGATCTAGGAATAGAGAAGATGTTTTGAGGAACTCCATGATTTAATAAAAGTAGAGGTTGCAAACTGTCTGTAAAACAGCAGGTTCTATAACTAGGTGGCAGCTAGGAAAGTGGAAGTTATGGGCAGTGAGCGGTGTCACTTGCATCATGGCTTCTGTTTGTAGTTTTTCAAAATGAAAAGTGTTTCTGTGAAGGAGATCTAATAAGATCATTGCTCCATACTCTTTACCTGGCATGCTGTGACTTCATATCTGCTAAGACAGTGCCTTGGGGGTTCAGGACAACTGAATCCATGTAACCACTTCATCAAAAATTAGATCTGTTGACCAAGTTGAAATTTTATTGTAAGAATGATCCATGTTAGACATTTAATTTTTACTTACCACTTCTTCTGTAGATGTCCATCTCAGTCAGATTTTCATGAAAGATATGGTAAATCGTGTCCTCCAAAATGCTAGCTTTCTGGGTACTGGAACAAATGATTGAACAATTGTTTTGTAAGTACCTAGAGGATAATAGGATTATAAGTAATAGCCAGTATAGATTTGTCAAGAACCTCTGACAGGATTACTAGCCCAGTGGATGGGGGGGCGGGGGGGGAAGGGAAGGGAAAGATCCAGGTCTGATATAGCTTGATTTTAGTAAGGCTTTGACAGAGTCCCACGTGACATTGTCATAAGCAAAGTAAGGAAATGTGGTGTAGATAAAATTACTATAAGGTGATGCATAATTGAGTGGAAGACCATACTCAAAGAGTAATGATCAAGGGTTCATTCTCAAACTGGGGTGATGTTATCTAATGGGGTCCCGCAGAGGTCTATCTTGGGTCATGAACTAGTCAATATTTTTCTTAATGCCTTGGATGATGAAGTGGAGGGTATAGTTATAAAATTTGTTAGTGACACCAAGCTGAGAGGCATTGCAAGCACTTGGTAGGATGAGATTAGTCCAACAATCAACAAGATGAAATTCAGTGACAACAAGTGCAAAGAACTACACTTAAGAAAAAAAAATCAAATCCCCAACTACAAAATGGGGGAATAACTGGGTAGGCAGTAGTACCTTTGAAAAGAATCTGGAGGTTACAGTGGATCACAAATTGAGTGAGTCAACAATGTGATGCAATTGTGAAAAAAGCTAGGCTAGTTCTGGAGTGTATTGATAGGAAGGTTGTATGTAAGACATGGGAGGTAACTGTCCCACTGTTCTTGGCAGTGGTGAGGCCTTAGCTGGAGTACTATGTCCATTCTGGGAACCACGCTTTAAGAAAGATGTGGACAAACTGGGGAGATCCAGAGGGGAGAGTAACAAAAATAAAAGGTTAGAAAATATGACCTCTGAGGAAATTTCTAAAAAACTAAGCATGTTTAGTCTTGAGGAGGACTTAATAAGTCTACAAATATGTTAAGGGCTGCTACAAAGAGGATGGTGATCAGTTGCTCTTCATGTATACTGAAGGTAGGATAAGAAGTAATTGGCTTAATTTGCAGCAAGGGAGATTTAGGGTAGATATTAAGGAAACTTTCCAACTGTAAGGATAGTTAAGCTCTGGAATATGCTTCCAAGAGATGTGGAATCCTCATCCCTGAAGGTTTTTAAGAATAGGTTGTACAAATGCCTAACAAGGATGGTCTAGATATACGTGGCAGCGGGGTAGACAAGATGACCTCAAGAGCTCACAGCCCTACATTTCTGTGATTCTAAATTATCTGAATATAAGCTCCACAGAGCAGTCAAAACAATCCAAAACTGATATGAAGGAACAACCCATCCACTTGCAGAAATCTGTCCTCTTTCCGTACATAAGCAAATTTCACTACAGGACTTGTGAAAGTCGTGTTGATACAGTACAGGTCAGTGTAACTAATATAGCTGCTAAACATAAGATGACTAGTTTAAAATATTGCATCATAGCATGTTGTTTTTGCTGAACCGAGATCATCTTGGGTTGGTTTTTTTTGTGAGTGTCTAGTTGAAGCAAAACCACTACACCTAGCTGGTGTTCTAATTAAGTTCCATACATTTGTCTGAGTATTGGTTTTGGCAAATTGTTTCTAAGTATTGGCATCTAAACATATAATATGACGCAATAAGGTACATGAGGATAGACACCTTCTCCCACAACTACCAGCATTTTTCACGATTTAAGACAGGAAGCATAGTGGACAGGATGAGCTATTGATTTGTTCCTGTATGACCATTCAAATACTTCTGAATTGTCTAAAGTTAAGCTTCGAAGCTAATACCCCATCATCTCGAATGTTTGCAGACTTAAATAAAAGCTTTCATGATATAATTCCATAACCAAAAAGGAAAAATAGTTGATAAAAAAACTTAAATGTGGAGAATGCAGTGAAAGTTAGAGATCTTAAATCTCTAAATCTGGATTGTCCATAGTTGGCAGGAAAAATGCTATGAATTCATTGTCTTGTTTTATTACATGAGACGTTCTCATAGGACCTCTTTCTGTGTCTTCAAGCAAGGATTTTAGGGTGTATCATGGGAGGAATTGAAAAAAGGCTGCTTTATCAGAGTTCTCATTCCCACCTTTTCCGTACTTAGTATTAAATGAAATCTAGGATTGTATTAACTTTCAGATTCTATCTTTGTATATTTTTTTCCATTCTCCCATGTTATTTTTATAGTCAAACATTGATAGACCAAATTGCTTTACATTTATTTACCAATTCAATTTGAGATTTTAGCTTTATATTTTTTTTTCTCAGGCATTCTTATTCTACTCCCTAAATGCTCCAATCCAGAATCCACTCAAGGTTTCAATCTTGCAATTTTTGGTGTGAGAGTGTGTCCAAGTTTCTACAGGTTTCAGAGTAACAGCCGTGTTAGTCTGTATTCGCAAAAAGAACAGGAGTACTTGTGGCATCTTAGAGACTAACCAATTTATTTGAGCATAAGCTTTCGTGAGCTACAGCTCATTTCATCGGATGCATACTGTGGAAAATACAGAAGATGTTTGTTTTTATACACACAAAGCATGAAATAATGCGTGTTTATCACTACAAAAGGTTTTCTCTCCCCCCACCCCACTCTCCTGCTGGTAATAGCTTATGTAAAGTGATCACTCTCCTTACAATGTGTATGATAATCAAGGTGGGCCATTTCCAGCACAAATCCAGGTTTTCTCCCCCTCCCCCCCCCCCCAAACAAACCCACTTTCCTGTTGGTAATAGCTTATCTAAAGTGATCACACTCCTTACAATGTGTATGATAATCAAGGTGGGCCATTTCCAGCACAAATCCAGGTTTTCTCCCCCCCCCCCCCCCAAAAAAAGTTTCTACAGTCAAAAAAGATCTCAGTGTCTGAAATATTGACACTGATACAGGTTCTTGCAAACAATTTTCATAATGTGGACCACAACAGTCTGATGGACACTTCCCTTGCCATTTTTGATTTCACAGACCTGTCTCCCTGTCCCCTCCTCCACCCATGTTAAAGAAAATTCCTGTGGCAGCTACAGTGATTGTTTACATGGCAAAGTAATATTAAGGAAGCACTTGCTGTATTTTCTTAGTTGTCTTTTAATACAGTTTAGCAGATGCAAGCAAGGAGGCAAGCTAGCATCCTGTGACCAGCGAGCTGTCTGTGGACCACCAGCAAGGGCTACATGGACCACAGTTTGAGAACGGCTGATCTAATTCATTCATTCTAACATTATTTTGGCCATCGTTCCTAATGTATTTGCAACCTTCATGCAGTTTAACATTAGTTTCCATAAAATATGAGCATTTCTGGAAGACTTCAAAGGGAAGGAGGATGTGGGAAACTTTGTAACACTTGGAAGCATTTCACAGTATTCTAGTGAGTTACAGAGCGACTAAGATAACTGGATTTTATCTCCTAATAAAAAACTGTAAGGGTGTTTTGCTTTCTTTAATAATAATAATAATAAATAATAATAATAAAAAAAGCATTACGTTTTGTATTGCAGTCTTATGCATTTTCAATTTGTGCTCATTTTTGGCAGCAAGAAGCAATCCAAATGCCAGAAAAAGCTAACTACAGGGTCAAACTTAAAAAAAAAAAGGAAAAATCATCAACTGTTTGAGTGCAAAACACTAAAGCCCCGTTTTGTAGAATGATGAACATCCTTGGCTCCCACTGATGCCAGCTGAAATCATGGCACTCGGGTCCTGCACACACTGGAGTAAAGCATATACTTCAGAGACAGTTTTAAACATTTTGAGTATAAAGGAAAAACAATAGGATGACACTGTGCCTTTAGGTACGCTTTTGAGTTCTAAATAAATATTGCAGTGAAAAGCTTCAGGTGACCATTTTTAATGGAAGGAAGAACAGCTAAGGCCACTG